TCATTATCTTTTGCCATGCTAACGAATCTATACAAAAATACGAAAGGTGTTTCAGTGACCCATTTGTTAAAATTAAAATTTGAAAAGCAAAGAAGAGAATACTGTCTTGTAACGCGTTAAATATTTCATAGCTCGTGAATATTTCGTAGAATATAGCAAATTTAAATGTTGTCCCGTAATATTTTATGTTTGCTTTTATTTTTAGTGTATAGTGCAATGTACGTGGTGTACGTTGTTTGCGCGCTGTGACCTTGTTATTGTTCGCACAACTGCACTCGATCAAGCGCAAGGCGTGACGCGATAATCTTTCTATCAAATAATTGCATTATTATATTTTCTTATTCATAATCACGACACGTATTGTAAAAAAATTCTGTTTACGACTTATTATTAATTAAAAATTTGCATGATTAATAAGTCGAATATGATATTTTGCTGATCTTGTGCATTATAATTTGTGGCTAGAAGACATCGGACATCGGCGGAGCAAACTTCAAATTGAATAATTAATCTTTTTCCTGCAAAAAAATGACACAAGTTAAAAATATGAAATTGTTCAGGAGATTGTTTCTGATTGATGACCGATGTATCAAGCTTCGCCAAAAGTCCTATCGTTTTTTTCAAAGTATCTTATTTATTTCGTTGTAATTTCTATATGATGAAGGTGGTTCTTGGCAATAATTTCTAATATATTTTGAGTTTAGACGCCAATTCTGAACAGGTTTGGCGTAGATCGGACTCGATTAACTCTTGTAATTTATCGTCATCTACGACTCCCGGTCTTCCCGATCTAGGGTCGTCTAAGAGCAATTCATCTCTCGAACGAAATTTGCCGAACCAAAATTGTGTTTTCCGATTGGAAATCACGTCTTCTCCAAACACCTGTCGTATTTTACAGGTCGTTTTTATGGCTTTGAGAAACCGAGTTTAAACTTATAAAATAATACTAAGCCAATTCTCCTTTCATGGTCTACCATTTTAATGCTACGTTGACAAATACGTAATAGCAACTAAATAAGTTTTGAATGCCTTATTTTGTAACCAAAACAAAAATGTTTTGAATGCAAAAGATCACAATTCTATCAAAACAAATGTATTGGAATTACAATAAGGTAAATGCTTTGAAAAAAAACGACAGAATTTTTTGCAGAGCCTAGTATTTAGAATATGCACACATAATACGAAGTTTTTCAAAAAATTTCGACTTGTGTCACTTTTCTTGCGCGCGCGGGAGTGCGATATATTATTTTTCACACTGACTATTGTACGAAATGCAGGCGCGGAAAATATTTTGCATAATACGAACAATTTGCTGCACAATTTTCGATTCTCTTTTACCGCCGCTGTCTGTGATAGCTATTTTTCGGAGCATACATTTAGCATTCGCTTCTCATTTTTGCAGTGCAATAAAATGAGATTAATTATCTTTCTTAAGGACCTATACCTTGACATGGTGAGAGGGCTCAGTATTTGGAAAGAAAGCTTTTTTCCTAATCCCTCCGTACCCCTAAAAAAAAAAGAAAAACACATGGTATTGCCACGAGTCGATGATAGCTCATATGCGGCGCATATATGCGTTGAAAAGGCAATTGATTTATTACCTCCAATTTTTTGTTTTAAGAAAAAAAATTGCGCGTCGCGTCGTGTTATCAGTAACGTCGAGAACATCAAAGTGTCGCGCGTGTATTATAGCGAAACTTGTATATTAAAATATCATGTGATTACATTATTTACCGTTTTGTTTTTGTGAGTGCCATGAAGCAACAGCCATCAGCTAAATCATTGAAAAGAAGAGAAGGCTCTGGGGTCATTGACAGGCATTGATGAAGCAAATCTCAAGGTTAGTATTTTATTCTTTTTTATTATTTGTGAAATATATGAATGGTTTATTGCTGCAATAAAATTTTCTACATATCAAATATTTATAAATATCGTACTTATTTAGAATTTATTTCAAACACAATTTTGATCTATATATTCTTTGTAATTTCTTTGTAAATTAATCAACTTCGGTGTGAAACTCTGCTGCTGCGCATCTGATCTGGTGAGTCAAAATCGAATTATTTTTATTCTTTATTTTAATCGTAAGGTCATCTGTGAAAATTATACACTCTTACATAAAAAATATTAAGAAATTTATATACAGGGTGATTCAAAATAACCTGATGTCCTTGCAATGTCATATTCTTGAGCAAATTCTGAAATAATTTTTCTTTTTACAAAATTTTGTCCGAAGCTTAGTTTATAATTGAACATAGTTTGCTACTTACGAGTCCGATACAATGGACAGGCAGGGATGGGGCAATGCGTCGTGAGACGATAGTAAACACTTGACAGTCTCATTATACGTTGCTGGATGTGGCAGCACCTCGATGTTGTAATTCCGATGCGTCGTCAAATGGGGCGCAATTTTATCCTTATGCATGACAACGCTCGCCCACACACTGCCAGAATTGCCCGTAACTTCCTCGAAGAAAACAATGCCACATCCAACAATGAGTCCGGATTTGAATTCCATAGAACATGTATGGGATATGATGGAAAGAAGGCTACGAGATTTGGAGATACAGCCAACCAATGTTCAACAACTGGAAGCAGCACTACAGCAGATATGGCACGAAATATATATATATACACACACACACAGGATATCTCAGACTTACCGTAACATCCATCAATGGCAGATTCTTGAAGTCATTTAAAGACAAAAATTTAATGCCAAAATGTCAAGGCTGCTGTAACCTTTGATCAGGAAAAATTTCAAGTTTACCAAGCTTGTTAAAATTTCACGCGCTCAGGGACAGATCGCATATCGAACGAGCTCTTTCACAACACTTTACTTAGCTCATTCGAAATAATAATACTTGAAATTATTGTTCATTTTATTTTTTTGTATACTGTTCGCAAGATTGACGAATTTCGGGATGATAATGTTTGTATCGAAATGCGATGCGCATCGAATTATCAAAGCATTCGTGTAAAACATGCCATTGACAAATGACGTTTCTCATGTGATGAGAGAGAAAATTAATACAGTCGGTGCGAAGTCTGCTGCATGAAAAAAGGTGAATATTTTGTTCATGTACCTTCAAATAAATGAAAACATATTTCCAAACATGTTAGTATTTTCTTTTCTTACCGACTTTATCTTTCTTATTGAGATTTCATGCAGCAGACCATACTTCGTACCGATTGCATTGATTTTCTCTCATCACAAGAGAAACGTCATGGCACGCTTCAGACGAATGTTTTGACAATTCGACGCGCATCGTGTTTCCATACAACAATTTAGAAACTATTATACATATATATCCCGAAATTTATCAGTTTTGCCAACAGTGTACAAAGAAATAAAGTAAATAATATATTAAGTATTATTATTTCTATCGAGCTGAGTAAAGTATCATGAAAGGGCCGTTTCAATACGCGATGTCCTTGAGCGCGCGACATTTTAACAAGCTGGTTAATGAACTTTAAACCTTTTCTGTTCAAAAACTATAGCAACCTCGTTTTGCCATTAAGATTTTCGTCTTCAAATGACCTCAAAAATCTGCCATTAGTAAGTGTTACGGTAAATCTACGATACTATGTATGTATATATATATACAGGGTGTCCCTAACATTTTGACAAAGCGCTCATGTGCAGGTAGAGCGGACTAAACTGAGTCGAAAAGTCCTGTACCATTTTGCAATTTTCGCAATAGTTAACGAGTTATTGCCCAGTAAACATTCGATATCCTATATTTATACGTGGAATATCCATGTATATACATAAATATGTATTTTATATAATTAATATAATTTATATATTTATATATTCCAATCCATATACATGGATATTCCATGTATATACATAGAATGTCCTAAGTAATTGGGTAATTACTACGCGGAGAAAATTTTATATAAAAAATTACTATGTAAGGTAGTAGCTGCATGAAAGAATTATAAAAATTTTTACTATGTTTTTTACATGTGAAACATAATAAAAATTTTCGGTTCACGGTTTCATGGTCCACGGTTAATGCCGTACAGTAATTTTTGATATAAAATTTTCTCCGAAATCGCCGAATAAGCGCGTATTCATCCAGCTCGCCTCCAAATGCAAGTGCGCGGCGAGACACAATAAAAAAACAAGACAATTACATTACAGAGCAGGTTTTGCCGGTTGTAGTAAACAACTTCACGCGCGTCGAGCAACCATGATCGCTAGGCGGTTGCATCTCATCGCGCACTTGTATTCGGTAGTGGATATACGCTTATTTGGCAATTTTTAGTAATTAATAACTTGTTAACTGTTGCAAAAATTGCAAAATGGTACAGGATTTTTCGATTCAGTTTAGTCCGTTCTATCTGCAAGTGCTTTGTCAAAATTTTAGAGACATTCTGTATATATTTATAATTATATTATATTATATAGATATAAATATTATAAATACAATACTTCAGATATCCATTATCTTAAAATATAGATGAGATAAAACAGATTAATTTTAAAATATTGAATTCTGGATCAGTTATTTAAAATTTACAGAACAAGTTTGCAATCATAAAGAAAAACATAAGAAATATTTGAAGAATTTTAAGAAATATTTTTTGTTTGCTAAAAATATTTGGCACACGCAAGATTTTTAGGAAGATAAGAATGATATCGATAAGTATTAATCGATAAGAACACTATTGCAATTAATTGTTATGAAGTCTATTTATTCCTGCAATGCGCTAATTTTACTATAATCTTTTCAATCTCATTCTTTTATATTTGTCGAAGTATATTTATCCATTTTAGAGTCGGAGAAGTACGTTGTATTGTGCTATTATATATATATATATATAATTAAATTTTTATAAGAAACGCATGTTTTTTATTTACAATTTATAAATATAATACAGATACGCATTTATATTAATAAACGGAGATGTTTATCGACAATGTAAGGTAGTTATAACTTTAAAAGGAGTGCAGAGTAACTATTGAACATGAGTCGGTAAGCGTTCTCGCGATAAATGCTGCAATATCTTCTTTGGTACATTGAATGTACTGGTCAAATATCCTTTTGGAAGGATACTATCCGGTACTAACCGTTGGTTATGGTACTTGAAGCGAAAAAAAATCCACTGCCTATAATTTTTCAAAATATAATTGATTAAAATTTAATTAAAATTATTATTCTAAATTTTAAACATAATAAAATAAATATTTTTATTTATATCATTAATAACATAATTATATACAATCTATATTTTTCTTTATAGATTATAATAATTATATAGGTCATAATATACACTATTAGAAACAATTATCATTTAGTATAGAAGTACGTAGACAAAAATAATATGCATTAGATGTGGATAGTGCAAAACTTCGATAAAGAATTGAAAAACTCAATTTATTGATCTTCCTTTTTATTATTCGGGTAAACTCCATTCCTTGGCAAAATGAATAGGGATGGAATTAAAGATGGCCGTACTTTTTCCATTGTTTTATCCCCCTACAATTCTCCTACCTTTACGGCTTGCTTTTCTTTCGAAGGGTGGACTGCGTTAGTGGGGGCGAAAAATGGCCGAGAACATTTCCAACGAAGTTCAGGGAAAGAGGCGGTCACCGTCGTTACCAAAGAATTTGATAAATGTTCTCTTACATTTTGCATGTCTCTGAAACAGAATGATTATAAATGACATTTAGAGATATTATAATACATAAAGAAAGAAAATAATTGCCTTTATTTTGATATTTTAATCTAATATAAGCGAATCAGTTGCTTGATTTGTTTAAAAATTCCAAATTTTATGCATTAAAGCATTTTATTTAAAATATTTTGTATTAAAATATTTTTATTTACTGCCACACTTGTTTTTAATTTTACTACTGTGTATTGGCCGAAATTTTCCTTGCTTTGAGACGAAGAAAATATTCTTAGGTCTTTGTTTTTATCATAATAAGGGAAGGTTTGAGCAGTGAGCTGAAAGGAAGGAAAAAGGAAGGAAGAGAAGTTTGCATGAGGAAAGGTAGATCTAGACGAGGAGGGTGAGGCCAGTAATGCGAAAGGTATGCAAGAAATCGCGAGTCATTTCTGTTTCCCTATTTTCTCTGTGAACTTTTCCTACCTTTCCGCGCGGTAGTCGAATGCAAAAACTTGCTATGAATGCGTCGACTCATAAACGAAAACGATTGAGAATATAAGAGGAAATCGCGGATCGAGCGTGTTTCTCTCTTTCTGTATCGTCTTTCGACAATCTTTATTTCGACAATCTTTATTTGATATAAATTTTTTTCTAATTTTGTCTTAACATATAACAGGCGATTAAAAAGTCTTTTTTTTTTTGTAAGCAATGCATGAGTTACAAAAGTATTTTTTGGTTTTGTTATACATATAAAGATTTTAGATACATCTGAATTTTTTGCATATTTTATTGTTGATATTTATTATTGAGAAGATTGAAGTTTACTAAATTTCCTGTTAACCCGATTGCATATTAAAATGATAAATCGTAAGTTTATAAAATATTTTTCTTTTTTTTTTATTAATTTGAAGTTATTGATTTATAATTCCAATAAAAAGATGTTTTTCTCTCGACGATAAATCGATCGTATTTATACTTCTACGAGATATTCTATAATAATTATTTCAAAATTTGGTACGAGCCTTTTAATTAATTCATTTAATTAATTCAAAACGAATGACCGATATCTTGGTGTGTGATTTCTTAGTAACTAATTAAAATCGGGCAGAGTTGTAGTTTATTGATCAACAAGATATCGTGGAAATAAATAAGATAGTAGAAGCTGTCGGGCAAGTAAATAAGACAATAGAAAATGTCGCGGAAATAAATAAGGCAACGGACGACCTAGCAGAAATTAATAAAACGAGGTATGCGTCGATCCTTGCTACTCACGAGCAACTGGGGATCATAATTAAGGTTGGAATTATGCAAAATGAACGAGAATTCCGTTGAAACGGCGCTACGTAGAACTAGGAATAAAATAAATGTTAATTAAAAAATCGCTCCCGCAGACAACAAGCTGCTGGCTTTGTTTGTTCACAAAACGTTTTACAAAACGTCGCGAATAACGTCATTTGGGAGGATAATATCTAAGATGTAGTCTGTGAATTAACGGCGGCCAGCCGAATTTGGATAATTTAACGATCGCGCTAATGAAACGAAACGCGTGATTACGCGAAACGAGCCGAAGGCTTTCCGAGCGCGGGTGGAATTTAATTAATTCGCGCATCGAGTCGCTCGATCGCACGATCTGTGATCGAGGGGATATTGAATTACGGTTGCGGGTAAACGCGCGTGTACTACGTACACGTGACATGATGCAAATACGAAACGCTACGTCTGGGATCAGCTGGCGAGTATGATTTTCCAGCCAGCGCAAACGCGCGGTTCGATCGTTTCCGAACGTAAACTCCGCGTTTACATTTAAATTACGCCAGTTTGCTGAAGACCGGCGCTTAATCTAAACTGAAATCGCCGACTGAATCCCTCGTTATTTCCATAATGGTAGAGGAAATATTGTGTAACATTAATAAAACATAAGTTAATATGTTAATACAGAATATAGAATATTTTTGAATATTATTGTATCTCTTATCAATAATATATTTTTAAATCAATCTGAAAACTAACTTATTGTAACTTAATATTCCAACCGATTACATAAAGTTTTATTATGTACTACTTATTATTATGTACTACTTATTATTTATTTTTTATATATTTTTACATATTTTAATATTCATTATTTCTTAAACAAGATAAACTTATTTTTTTTAACTTAATCGTTTTATCGATATATTTCGCTTCAAAATTCACAAAGTCAATTTTTATCGTTGCGACACGTAATTTCTAAGTTTAGAACTGTAATTGCGTATGACATTAATTACACGTCTTGAAAAACTACTTCTCGATAATTAAAGTGACTCTTTCGAAGGATAGCAGGATACATATCAGGAATTGATTTGTGTGTATTTAAAGCCGTTGCAGTACATGTACACGTGACCGTGATCTTACCGATGTTGTTTGACCAGTATGCAAATCTCACCTGACCAACCGCTGGAAAAGGTCTACTTCTGAAATTCCCGAAGGGTGTCGACGTACTGTGCAGCTGCTAGAGGATCCTTTTGTTCCGTGCAACGAGTGTCCGCTTTACCCTTTCCTTTTCTGCGCACAAGATACTTTATTACCTTTACATTACATAATAATTTGGATATTATTTCGTTTAATAACGTGCACGCGGCGCAATCAGTGTTCCTCCGGTCACGTATTGCTCGGTGCCGCCGTAATTAATTACGTATGCCGTTGTGAACGTTACCATTATGCTGTGATGTAATAGCGCGTTTCGAAGATAATGCATGGCGGGTAAATATTATATTGATTGGATCGCGGAGAGATTTGAATACCTTCGGAGTACGTGCGGTAATGATAATATTCTGCTAAAGCAGAACCTGAGAATTTAATAGCTTGATTATTATCTCCATATATTATTGATCGCTTTATAATAATTGAGAATATAATCGTAGAATTAAATACTGTGTCGTAAAATAGCCGAATAAGGAAGTCAATTGCGGGGTGGGGATTAGGGATAGGAGAGTAACAGCAAACTCGGTATTCCACTATAGTGCCGGCGCTATAGATCGAAATAGTTTTTCAATTTTCACGGACGATTGGTCACCCTCCAATCGCAATTTTCCCGTCGCTTAGCTTTTCGATTATCCGCCGATCGCCTGCACCGCGATGAAAGCATTCCGTCGCTAAAGACGGAAAAAAGTTTCTTGTTTTTTTTTCTTTTGCATTTTTAATGAAGAGATATTTATATTCTACGAAAATAATAATTAATTACTCGATTCAACGTATATGTTAAACGATAAAATCAAAACAATAAAAACGAAAAAAATTGAATGCGATACAAATTTTTATCAAGACACGTTAAAATATGGATGTCCTTTTTTATTTGCATGTATTTAATATAATAAACTATTTTATATGAAATAAAAGACTATTTGCATGTATTTAGTATAACAAACTATTTTATATGTATAAAAGACTATTTGCATGTATTTAGTATAATAAACAATTTTTTAATTGAATTATATTTTATTTTATATTATATTTTATTTTGTACAGAAGATTCATGAGAGTTTTAAGATTATATTTTCGCTATATTTGTATAAAAATTTTAGTTTTTATTCTTTTAGATAAATTATTATATTAAATCTATTATTATACTCTTGCATATACTGATCAGAACTCTACTTTTGCGTTAGAGTAATTAGTAGTTATCGGATATTTGAAACTATTTTCTCATACACTCGGCGTAATTATGGTGACAATGATTAATCGATCATTCCTAAAAAAGGTTATAAATCTCTCACTATTTCGCGTTCGCGAGACGAAGAGAGGATGGGCGAAGATCTCGTCCCTTTGATAATGTCTTGAAAGGGACAATAGTCGGGAGAGGACGTCGGCTGGATAAATTATGACGTCATAAGGCAAGGCAGAGGGCAAAAACAAAAGATGGCGGTGTGGCGTCACTGGGAAAATAATGAAGACTTTTTGATTGTACCATAAATTTAAGAACCTTTGTTTTTCCGTTGTTTGTGGCTCGCGATGAATTCTGCGGTGATTATGTTTTTCCATATCTTTTTCCCTGATTTTCTTTGCGATCGGCCGTTTGGAGAATTAAACTATCTCACGATGCTACAATATAGATAAAGCATCTAATTCATTATGGAGAGTAAATAGATTAATTCCTCAATAACTTTTCAAAATTTATGTTTTGATTTGATTATACATTTACAATGTGAAAATTGTTGTTAAAGCGCTTTTTGATAGAAGCGAGATGAATTTCACGCAACGTCGTTGCGAGAGTAGGAATAAAATATATTTCTCAGAAGTCCGATAATACCTTACCCCAGAGGTTACTGGGGCAAGAGGGCGAGAGGGGTTGACGCAAAAGGGCTGAAGGCGGAAGAGGAAGGGTTGAAAATTCGGCTATCTTAAAACAGGTTTTGCGGCTCGGACACCCGGAAGCCCTTTCGATCAGCATTTTTTTACGAATTCTTAATCAGCCATCCTTTCAGGGCTTGTATAAAGCGGCCTCTGCGCCCTTACGAGAGGGCGCCCTTTTGCGTCGCTTAAAGCGCGGCTTAGAAAATTTCAATTCTTCCATACAATCACCGTGACATATTATTGGAGTGTAAATGTGTAACGAAAAAATCATGCAAATGTATTCTTCTTATATAATCGTGTGTGTTTCTATATGCAATATAATATATGCGCATTTTTTTCAAAGAATTTAAATTTTTTTTTTTTACTACAGAAGAATTTAAAATACTTTGAATTAATTAATTATTATTCTCAGGCTTGGAAAATTACGCTACAGCGAGAAGCACATAAAATATACATTGACCAATGCATCAATGAATTAATTTACTCAAAAATGGTTTGAAGAACGCAAGAAAATAACTAGAAACTATTTTTAATTAAGCGCGCGCTTACGCTTCGACTAGTCTCAGACTCTTACGAGATAATTACTCCCGTGGGCGAAAGCAAGATCGCAGGATACTAAAAAGTCGGTAGTTTTAAGTGCCGTATACAGTATAGTTTTACGTTCTTTTAAAAAGTGTGGGCGCGGCGATAAAAGGTGGCCCTCGAGGGCAGCCTCGTAAAGTCGCTGTCGAGCACCGATACGACAACGGAATAGGTGAATGGGCGGAAAGGTTTAAGATCGGTCCTGTCGTAAAAAGGCAGGGGGTGGTCGAGAATACCTTCTGAGAGTCTTTAGTCGCTACCCGCCGGAAAACGACGCAACTCGGTTTTAGGGTCTGCAGAGAAAAATACGTCGCGGAAATTTCTACCACGACAATTTTCTTACATAGTCGTATTTTATCTAAAGAACAAAAATTTTTTTTTATAATCTATATTATATTTGTGCTGTTCGTTAAATGCTATATCAGAACCAAATTTATTACACAAGAATTCGCCTTTAATCTTATCGATAAATTATTTGAACGATTTTTTTCAATAAAAAGGTCAAAGAGCATCAACAGTTTTTTGGCAAATTTAATTTGTGAATAATTTATGTTTAATTTGTGAATATAATCTTCTACGAATATATTTTAATTACGAATGCATTACGAACAAATTATATTTTTTATATTTAACATGCTAAATATGTTGTTGATTCCTCGATGCTCTGCAATTGGAAATTTAATGAACACGCTGACGTATCGTCAGATCGAGAGAGAGAGAGA